AATATTCCAAATCATTGTAAGCATTTAATGCATCATCATTGATAGCATTCAATCCACCATCGGCAACTTCTTCTTCGCTGTCACTTATTACAATTGGTAATTCTTTCTCATTATTAAATACTAATGACGCATCAGGAAACTCGTCCATGTAATTTTCATCAAAATTATCTGGGTAGATACGAGTGTACAATTTCACTCCAACAGCTTCCAAAAACCTCTTTCTCCCTTCGCCATCATCTGATGATGAATCATTATCCTCAATTTGCAACTTAGCAACTTTTATTTTCTTGTGTTCAATGTGATCTTCCAAAAACAATAATTTATTGTAAAATTCAAGATCATTGTCACTTAGTACCTTCTTTTCAGATAGTTTTGTATTTAATCTTACAAATCGATCGCGCAAAGATTTCCAAATCTTATTAACTATTTGATCTGCAATATAAATGATAAAATAATTTAAGTTCATTATAACAAAATATACGTTCAATGACAAAAAATACTATGATTTTTACCGGTGATTTGTACATCAAAATTTTCCTTCACGAGGTATTTTACACGACCCGTGAAAGAAGTGGATGCAGTGCCATGATTACTATGTTTTTTGTTAAATATAAAATGATAGTCTTCTGACTCATTTAATAAATTTATAATAATATTAATAATTGCATTTTTTAGATTTAAGTCCTCCATGTTAAAAAAAAATTATACGATAGTAATGGAACCAAACTCAATCTTTGCGTTTTTGTTCTAGAATAACGGACGGCTCAAGCGACAGTCGAAGTTACCAGTTCGTTATTCTTGCCGCCTAAAGTTCAACTTCAATCAGTAGCAGCAGCAGCATTATCAGTAGTACAGTAATATAAATATAAGAAGAGTAGTTTTTCTATAAAAAAAAAATATAGTCTTTGAAGACAAGACGTCTAGTTATGCAGATATCATAATTTATGGGGTACAAACCCGTCCCTATATATTTTTGCTCATGACATTCGGAAAAGTTGGCATTCAACATTTTAAAGCGATATACGAGCCCACGGCGAATCCAATGGTATTTATGATCGATTTCGCTATGCTACGTCGTATGTGTATGCTTACACGTATCTATGAGTTTCACCAGATTTTTTTATTGAACTGTGGAAGCAGCCGTCCTAATTAAGAATTCTCGTATGTTGCAATTTCCACAAATCCAATATGATTTTATGTATTTAATAATTTATTATTATTAATTTTCAAATAATTAAGAAACGGAAATTTTTTTTGAAATTTTTATTTCTAAATTCATGTCTTAAAAATCGGTGAATCAATCTTGGCCAAAGTTCCTGTAAATAAATAAATTAAGAATTTTTTTTTAAGTATTAGAGTACCTTTTACGTGCATATATACTTACAAAAATGCCAAGAGCTGTTTATGGAGCATTTCTTTAATTTGCTCCACAGTGAGCTTTTCGAAGCGCTCATTTAAAGCTCGCTCGAATTCCTGCTGCACTAATGCAGCAGCTTCTGAAGTCGCCAAACTCATCTTCCTAAGATAGGAGCGAACGATGCGAACTTTCGGAGAGTTCAAAGGTACGTCTTCCTTCGTGACAAATTTCACGATGTCCCGACAATTTTGGGCTGACCAAGTCATTAAATATTGGACGTCATCATAACCCATTATTTTATGCCTGCAATAAAAACTACATTATTCAGAGAACCAGACTTTTACATTAATAAATGAATGAAAATACTTACAAAAAGCAGTAAAAAATGATGAGAAATGTCGGGCTCACCAACCACAGATCTTCGTGGTAAAATTTGTAAACATCTCCGAACTCTTCAAAATAATTCGCCAGTTCGGCAGCTCCGTCCTTGTTCCGAACAATATCGCCTCCGATAGCTTTTTCGGTTATCTCCAAAAGTTGTTCTGTTGAACTGATGTGCAGGATAAACTTTTCACTCGCATACTTTCTCAGTTTCAAGAGTTTATCTAATTTTTTCAAAAAATATAATTTGTTTAACGGCACGTATCTAGTCATACCGTCAATGTTATATCCTCGACTACAATAAACTAAGCAATAGGTTAAAAATAAAATTCTTTACGGAAAAAACTTCGATAATTCGAACGTTGATAGTTCGAAATTCTCGATAATTCGAATTCAAACTCTGTTTTTAGCGTTTTCGATGTAAATTCAATGTTAATTTACCTCGATAATTCTAACAATATCATAATTCGAAATTTTGATAATTCGAAATGAAATTTTGCATTCAGAGTTTAGATACCATATAAATTTACATCGATAATTCGAAATGATGTTGAGTTCAATCAATTATGCGGAAAAAGTGGTAGCGTAAAGTATGAATCGGTCGCGGCTTAGATCCAATCTTCCATAACATTGACAACGCTCGATCCAATTTTAAAAGAATACGAGCCAAGAAATATTTTTAATGCATATGAAACAAGATTATTTTAAAAGTGCCTTCCAACCAAAACGTACCCCAGTGTTTTCGAACTGTTAAAGCCTATAGAATACACCTCGAACAAAAAAACGTGGATGACCTCTTCGATTTTTGAAACCTGGATTGAAAATCTAGATCGCTTTTTTAATAAACAGAAGCGAACAGTACTTCTTTTTCTTGATAATTGCGCTGCTCATACTATTAACTTATTAGAAAATATAAAAGTTTTGTTTTTTCTACCAAATTTGAAGTCTGCTATACGCCAATGGACCAAAGCATCATCAAAATGACTTCTCATTTTAATTAGAATTGTGTTTACATGTTAAATAAATAAAAATGCCTGCGTTTTTCTACAATTCGTAATTAATTTAATTTGGCCTCTCTTTTACTTCGTTAGTTCGAACTTCGTTAATTCGAAATTACAGCCTGCATTTAGGATTTCGAATAATCGAAATTTTACTGTAAATCGTTACTATGACGTGAATATAGGAATAGCATGAAAAAAATTATTTATTGTATATTGTAAAAACTGCGGTTATACGTTATTGTTTGTTGAAATGGCGCAAGTGCAACAGCAAGCGCAAATTAAGCGACACCGGATGTTTCAGTGCCTCGTTAGAGCACGAAATCCCGAAAATATTCTTGAGGAGGAGGAGCCAAGACGACGTGGCAGACCTCGCAACCGAGTGGCCGAGAACGGTGAACCTAATTTCATTTACGCTCAGCGAATTTTTGAACGCGATTATGGTGCCCCAGTGCCGTCAGAGCAATCTTTCCAAAGGTAAGTACCCATGAATGATAAGTAATTAATTAATTATGTGATGACAAGCAAGAAATCATTTTTATTTATTGATTTTAAAACATATTTTCTATTATATTCAGATTATGGAGGCAATACCAAGAAACTGGCACCTTGATTGACCGTCAAGCAAATCGCGTCCCGAGAAGAGGACGAGTACGCGATCCGTTGCGAGAGGTAGTGTTAGAGGCGTTTCAGGTTAATGGGCGGCAAAGCGCACGAGCGTTAGCTCGACAACTTGGTGAGTATTTTATAATCTATTTATTAGCACATACGTACACGATCTCGATAAAACGATCATAATTTCATAAAAAACATATACGCGAAAATTCACATTCAAATTATTCTTTACTCATGTCATTCAAACGTATTTACGAAAAATTTCTTTTAATTTCTAATTATAAATGATTTAGGAGCAAACCGAGAAGTAGTGCGCCGTATAGCGAGAGATCAAATGAGACCTTTCAAGTACATCAAACAGCCAAAGCAAAAACCACAAGATCTACCAAACAGATTGAGATTCGCGCAATGGTTTTTACAGCAAGAACAACAACAGCCAGGCTGGACCCGATTTATCTGTTTTACAGATGAATCAAAATTTACCCATGTGAGAATGTTCTGCCGGCCCAATGTTAAACTAGTATTGAACGTTCAAGCGCCGATATTGGCAATCGGTAACGTTCCGGTGTACCAACAATATTGGTTTGATAATCGCGATCTTACTTTGGGAATTGATATTGGTACGATATAGCTTACCGTTGTTTGCTCCTGACAACCCGAGTAGGAGAATGCTGAGCTATAATTTTTTCAATCCATCAACAATAATAAAGCCCGAGTTTTAAAATGTTTGTACAAGAGTATATTATTTTTTTAGTCAATAAAAGATAAATAAATTTATTAATATTTAAATAGCTTTATTTATAAAACTTATAACTTCGAAACTTCAAAATTCAATATTTCAGTTTAAAATAAACATTTTAACGAAAGAACATATAAATTATGCATTTAGCTTTCTTGAACGGCATTGTTCGCACTGCTCCGCTCTGTTCTGCCTCCTTCTCTGTCAGGAGCTCCAGAAAACCACCTGGATGCCTTCGACTTCACGATACTCTGGTCGATCCTATAATGATTTTCTATGACCACTGAAAAAATATTAAAAAAATTAAACGATTCAGCAACAATTACAAAAAATTGAGTTGAATTAAATTTTACCGCTTATGCATTTGTAAGTTTGCGTCATGCTGAAATTTTTTTTAGCGACGCCTCGCACCGGTTTCCCATATCCGCTGTACAATAGTTGAACTTTTTTTACTAATATTAGTTCCAAACATTTTTTTAGGGCAATTTTAAAATCAGTCTCTCCGTTGGCGATTCTTTGCAATCGCAACGTCTAAAAATTACAAATATAATATTGTGATTTACACCGAGAATTGTATATTAAGTAAAACTAGTTTTTAAAAAAATGTTTGTCTTTACCAATGCATCTCTTTTTGCCGGATTATTTGTCAACTCGTCTTCAAATTGTACAAACGGTACCAAATCATCAAATGGCATCGCCGGAAGATCAAGCAGCTGTGGAGCGTTCAGAGTTTGCAGCTTAATGAACTCTTTTATATCGTACAAGATGCTTTCTTGCATTTTTTTAATGTTCTTTTTGATCCCCTTTTCTATCTCCTCGATATCTTTTTTGTTGCGAAAATTTCTGGGTCCAAACGCATGCGTTTGCTTGAAGGCGGTTCACATGATGAGCTTTCCCGCGAGAACGTATTTTTTTTTAAATTCAGGTGCACCTATGACAAATTTTATTTAAAAAACAATAAGCTCTAGAATAATCATTGAATATAAATTTACCTGAATTTGCATCGGCTTCTAAGCCAGCAAAAAACCCTGCAAGTGACGACTCATCGATAATGATTTGAGGAGGATCCACAACAACATTTTCTGCTCCATCTTCATCGTTGTCAGTAGAACTGATGTTCGCGGTTTCAAAGGATTTTCTTAATCGTTTGACTCCTTGCTCATGATTTTCTGAAAATCAATAAATCATGAATTGATTTTAAACGCGCGAAATTATCGTCTAAGGTTATAACTGAAAAAGCAATTATCGCATTGAAATGAAAAAATCACGAGTTGCGTGAAGCACTCTAAATCTTTTTTTAACGATAGATTAATGAAGCGATTGATAATGAATTTGAAAATAACTTACTCGCTTCCTTAAGCACATCTACTTCATATCGAACCCATTTCGCTCCTGGTTTTTTTTCTTCTCGAATCCATTTTTCCAATTTTGGATAGTCTTTTTCGTCAGGATAAACGCAAAACCATCCCGAGTCTTCATAGCTTAGCCAAGAAACTGGTACTAGCTCGGTAGATTTTAATCCATTGGGATTTTCCCAATTTTTGAAAACTACGACAGCAAACTTACTATTTTCTTTCAGTGATATTTTCGCTTTGTCGGTTAATGAACAACTGGGTTATGTAACATAAATGAATAACAAAACAGAAATCGTAGAAACAAACAAATCAGAAATAATATCTGTGGTGGAAAGGCATAACGACTTAAGTCCATTTTTCGTAATTTCGAGAAAAACGCGTTTTAAGTTGATTGTGCCAGCCTAACTAGACGCGGACGAGTTGAGGTCTGAACCTATAGCAACGTTAGATGCACCGGCAAGAGCATCCGTTCAACATTTAATGCAGTATAATGGTGATTACGGGTGTACTTTCTGCGAACACCTAGGTGAAACTGTTAAAACAGGTGCTGGTTGGACTAGAGTATATCCTGATATTCATCCGAAGCCGATTCTACGATCAAGAGATAGAATGATAGTGCAAGCTAAAGAAGCAGTGGACAATAATCGACAACACGTCATGGGTGTTAAGGGTCCAACCATAACCACATTGATACCTTTTTTTTGTATCGCTACTTCATTCGTCCCAGATTATTTACATGCAGTCTTATTAGGTGTTTTCAGAACACTCATTTCTCTTTGGTTCGATACCAAATATCATACATGTGACTGGTATGTAAAAAAGGCGCACAGAGAATTTATTAATTCAAATTTAAAAAATATATTTGCTCCCGATTACGTAACACGCACACCACGGACGATAAAATATTTACATTTTTGGAAAAGTTCTGAATTGCGAGAGTGTTTAACTCACTACTTTCCCATCTTATTAAAAAATAAGTTGGAAGATAAATTTTACAATCATTTTTTATTATTTTCTCAGGCGATTACATTACTTCTCCAGCCAAAAATCCATATAACACAGCTATATCGTGCAGAAATCCTTTTACATGAATTTGCTAGTCAAGTACAATTTTTATACGGTAAATTTAAATGTTCGTGGAATCTCCATCAAGTTGGGACTCATTTAGTGCCAAGTGTTCGTCAATGGGGACCGATTTATGTTTGGTCTACGTTTCCCTTTGAGGACGGTAATGGTCAGGCTAAGAAGTCTTTACACGGACCAAATAAAATAGATATAGAACTGATTAACACAATGTATATTTTTAACGTGTGTAAAATTTTAGGGCATATGATACATTTCCGTGGTGAAAATCGACGAGTGGTAGACAATTTAGAAATTCAAACGCTTGGTAGGCCAGTAAAAAAAGTATTTAATGAGATTGAAATGGAATGTATTGCAGAATTTTGTAATCTGAATCAAATCGCCATAGAAAATTTAATTATTTATCAAAGAGTAAAAATAGGAAAGGAAATTTATACTTCAAAAATGTACACGCGTCAAAAAAAAAGAAACAACTATAATATTTGTTGGAACTCAACCGAGTTAGGTGCTATTTCGTGTTTTATTAAAGTTAATTTCTCAGTATTTGCACTAGTGAGACATTTTGTTAAAGATTATAATACTACGGATAATATTATTGACCATATTCATGGCATTGATTTGTCAGATTATATTGTTTTTACTCGAGATTCTTATTGTATAAGTATTGTACCTGTAAAAAATATTACAAGTAAATTAATGCGGATAAATAATTATTTATGTTTTTCAACGAACATTCGTGAAAACAAATAAAAAATAAAAATTTCTCTCATTTGTACTCATTTGTAATTTTTGTGAATAATTGGAGAAAAAAAATTGTATACAAAATGTATACAAACTGTATACATGGATAGTATACAAAATGTATACAAACTGTATACATGGATAGTATACAAAATGTATACAAAATGTATAAAATTTTTCTACTTGGGTAGGGAGATAGAAGGGAGATGTTATGGCCCATTGGGGTGGAGTGCAAGGAGCCAGAAGTATCATTGTTACCTTTACTCTCTTTATGACGTTTGTAGTGTCTCTTTTTATTGTTAATACCTTTGACCTAACGACTTGTATCGAGACAGGGCTACTTTCACGTTGTACTCCTAACAATGCTCAACAAAGACTATTTTTACTTCGAGGTTTTGACGCTAAACACGTAAACAGCGGGATAGGCGTAGATCCTATTCAGCCCTCGTGAGTGGTTACTATCAAATAGAATGAAAACGTTTTGACTCTCAAAAGTTTCACGAACGAGTAAATATTCGTCCAAAAATCGTCGTACGGAAAAGTTTGGCGGAAAACCAAAAGGTTAAGATCGTATACTTCTCTTATCTGGCGATAATGTTTCTTTCCGTGTTGGTTAATCGTCTGGTATAGTCCGGCTATTCACAATCGGCTTTATAGCCTCACATGTGGCGAATACCTCGCCGGATCAGGCCACATGAGGCGATACAAGGAACTTTAAAGTGGTTGATATATTCGCACATAATTATTACTCATTAGTAACCATGAGAATAGCCTGTCCATTTGCTTGACATGATTGTCACAAAAATTCAGTAAATAAAGAAAAAATATCTGACCGATTCGCAACTCATGAAGCGCAAAATATTATATAAAAAAGTAAAAGTACCAATACATGCTAAAAAATGGAATTTGCTCGCTAATAAGAGAAACATGAATGATTATAAAATTTGTCGACGCATGTAAAGTTAATAGTCATCCTTACGATGTACACAAGTGATTATGTATGCAAAAAAACGTGGACACATCGACTCGAACATTAATATTATGCACTTGCCGACGACGAAAACAAAATGTTTTGTTCGGTTTGGTTTCATTAAACAAAATCACCTTGCTGCAATCGTGCAAGGAAGAGTTCGCGTACTTTCACCTTTAATCTTGAACGCGCAACATATAATAATGTGCGTACGGTCAAGCAAGAAGCCAAAGAAAAGAGAGGGATAAATAAAAAAAAGAAAGAAGCCAGGCAGAAGAAGAAAAGGCACGAGAATAAAAGAAAAAAAGAAGATGGAGAAACAAAGAAGGTCGACCAGATGAATACGTGTTTGCGTGTGCGTGTGCATATGTGTGTTTGTACGCACTTAACACAATTAAGGGCTTGGAAAAAATACAACGTTAAGGATTAACTCGTTAAAGAGCAATAAATTTTTCCAGGCGTCAACAAAGACCACCGGTTATGATCGCTTTCCTCTCAAATAATATACTGGTTTTGGCATTTTGCGTTGTGCATCCTCGCGAAGTAAGCAACTTATATTTTTCGACGTATCTTCGATATGTATAATCATTCAATTAGTTATTCGGCATAAACCCATCGTCGTTAAATCAAAAGTTCGATCGACAAACTCAGCTCATCCCCAAGGCGATGATTTATCATCGAAGGATGAGAATTATAAATCACCTCCATCTACTCTCCATTGCTCTGCAATACAAGCGCCAACCATGAAAGGTGCTCATAATGAACATCTGATATGTATAAATACATATCCGATCTGAGCGTCGGTTCGGGCGTTTTCACTTTACGAGGATATACTCTCGGTAGTGCACTATGCGAATGTACCCACATTTGAAGCTCTTTTGCGCGTAACCCGCGTGCCATTTGCGTGGAGGCGCTCGACGCACAGGTATGAAAAAAATTAAGGACACGAGCGCGCGCGTAAAAGTGGCGCGCATGAGGGGCACAAGAAGCGAGAAAATAAAAAGAAGAGGAAGGAAAGATTGTTGCCAGTTACCGAGTTTATGAAGCACTTTCGAAGGCTCGAGCTTGCTTATATTTTCAGCAACACTTTCTTTACACGATAAAGAGTCGGTAATACATCATCCGAATGAACCCGAAGTTTACACTCTCGCATATATGTGCAGCGGCGGCCCATGATCGATTATGCCAAGATATTTTTTCAATAATTCGTCCTCATAAATGTCCTACTAATTGATTTCCATACACACCGAGGAGCCGCACGCAAATATATGCACGCACGAGCATTTATAAGCTTGATAATTGCACGCGTTAGCGCGCAAAGGCCTTTACGATACGCTAACTTAATATCCAAATAAAGTCATTTAATTTAATTATGGAAGCTTTTCTCGCGGGCACACACAAGGTTAAATTATTGACAGCGGTTGCGCGCCGATGCACGTACGCACGGGCAATAATTTTCTTGACTCGTTTGTGCGAAAATTAATAATCAAAATTAGCGACGAAAATCCTTATGCGAATAGTTATTTACTGTTCTTATAGCTGTTTGGATAAGGTGGTGTCCGCTTCATACAATGGGAGACGCAAAGAAAGAAGAGAGAAAGAAAAAAGATGCAAGCGACAATCAGATCGCCAACTGCGATGTTATATGTGTGCGCAGAATATAACACGTGGCGGTGGCGGGTGAAAGTGAGCGCATTTCACCACGGCACTATGTACATATAGTATTGAAACCAGTACTATATATGTGTAAGTACATTCGCGGAGAGCAGCAGCAGCAGGCGCTGCAACAGCTCGTGACCACACCCGATTGCGACTCTGCTTTTAATGCTGCTGCCGCTGCTGCTGATACTCGCGAGACTGTTATTCATCTATTATGAGCGTATACATTAATGCCCGTAATACATATTCTCTCCAAGAAGAAATTTTCACGAGGATTTTTGCCCTCGTCGCGTCCCGCATGAGATATTTTTTCATTTTCTTCTCTTTTGCACGGAGCCCCATTCAGAAGCCGAGAGAAAATTGCAGGCGAGAGTCACGGGGCAACAGTATCTCTGCACGCAGCTAATCTCGTTCTAATCCCGATCGCGAAACGCGTGGGGACTGATTAATGAAACGCGAGTATATATATATTTATATTGCCGAAGCAGTCGGCTGAGAGAAGATCAGTAGATGCATTCGCGCGGCGTGTCGTTGACCGCTGCGTTTCATCGAGAAATCTGCTCTCGAGAGCGTCGCTCGTTCGCTCTCGATTTTCAATTTCAACGCGATTCGTCCGAAAATTTCACCATGTTACAAACCGGCATAAAATTGCATACCACGAGAGCGACCAGCCCACGAGCTAAATAGACTCGAAGCAAGCAGAAATACACACATACACACTTACACACGTATTACATAAATCAATAATAGAAGAATATA